CCTTTCTCTATATTTTCACTAGCTCCTCCTAAGTCTTCGAACAAGAAAAGATCATCCCTGACTTAAGGACAAGAAGACTTCATGGTTGATCTTGAGTCATGGACGCTCTTCAGAACAGAATAAGAAGCTCTAGATAAAGATCTACAAAGAGTTCTGGCATGGAGAGCTTGGAGACTAGCACCACTCAACCTTCTTCTCTTTGCTGCACCAATTGTTAAAGAGGAAGAAAGCTTTGCACTCAGTTGGCTGAGGACAAAAATTGTTGAAATCTCACTCTCCAAGGAGATAATCAAAACAGTCTACAATGGAAAACTTGAAGACCTCAAACAGGAAGATGAGAGAAGAAGGAAAAAGAAAGCAGCTAGAAATCTTCTCCCCGGAGAGTCATGAGGCAGAAGACACCAGGAATAGGTGTTTGTTGCTGCCAAAAGGGGGAAAAGAGAATCAAACAATTAGGTCATTTAACGATATTTTTGTTCTTTATAAGTGTTTTTTATTCTTGTTTTTGGAATCATCAAAAAGGGAGAAATTGTTAGGTCCACTAGATTTTGATGATTAATGTATATTGTTTTGATGATGTGACCCCTTTTTGTATAATCCCTGTATTTGACTAGTTCATGTACTTGTTTTACTTTGTTTATTGTAATTTTCTCCTATATTAGTGATAATGTACTCAAGAAAATCAAAGAGTACTAAAATGAGAAGAAACATACCATAAAACAAAAAGATGAGAATAAAAAAGAAAAGGTACGAAAAGAGTCAACTGAAACCCTTTGTGACTCAGCAGCTATCTTGAAATACCAGAATCAGTAGCCCGCTAAAAACTCTTCAGCCGGCTCCTTACTCTGTTTACCAGATGGCTAAAACCAAAATCTATCATTCTTCTCTTAGCACAAATATAATTAAACAGAAGACCAACTTGCAGTCAAAATTACAACAAGATTAAAGTAATTTTATAAGAAAATTTTACCACCTTATGAGAATTTCTTAAAAATTTGAGGAATATCAAGTTGGAGTGTAAAACAGTCTGTGTCACATGAAGACAAAGACAAACCATGTTGCCTTAGTCAAATGGAACACAACAAGTAGATCAAGCAACAGTCAAGATTGAACTCATAATCCAACGGACGAGATTCAACAACAAAGTCTAAATACAGATGGAGTGTGGGAAGACCAAGTGTGAGGAACCAAGTGGAATAGAAGGGAATCAAGATTCACATGAATACATCCCGCAACCTGATTCTCCTTCACCATTTTGGTTACCACCCACTCATCTACAGCTCTTAGAATAGCTCATAATTCATACATATCTATAGAGCTTAGATTAGTCGGTAGTTTAGTTTTCACTCATTTAAACTAGACTAGTGTTAGAAATTCTTAAGGGCTATGTGATCAAATCCATAAGGTGAGAAGGGAAAGAACATGAGTAGCTTTTGGCAAGTCATTGCATTAGTGAAAACCTTGGAGGACTGAGTAGCTTTGAATGGTGTTCAAATTCCTTGTGAAAACCTCACAATCTACGCTTGGGCCAAGGGTAGATTGGGCGCTAAATGTAATGGGATATTCATTTAATGGAAATCCATTTGAAATAGGTTGGGATTCGATGTAGGAGGATTACACCACCTCTGAAGCAGGATATATCTTGGGTCACCTTTTATATTCAGCTCCCAATACACACTTCAGTTCTCACTCACCTTCACAAATTTCCCAGCAAAACAGCTTCCTCATTAACTGCCCAGAAAACTGTCAAGTTTTCTGTGAATCAAACTCCTTGTTTCTATTCATCATAAGGTCTAAATCTTTCATGCCTATGTGTTTTGTCTATTCACAAAAGCCAAACAATGTCCAAGGTCATAAATTCTCCATGTGCCTTAAACATTGATAAAGCAGCAAAATTAGCAGCCTGCTCCTGAGGGGTTCAGCAACCAACTCCCATTAACTTGGCAGCCTGCTCCCTAAAGTTTCAGCAGCCTGCTCCTTGAGCTAGCTGATTCTGGTACACACATTTGCATCTTGTTTATCCCATCTCTCACATAACTAAAAGGGTCATAACCTTTGTTACTATAAAGTGTCACACTCTTGAGGTCAAGACTTCCGTTGTAGGTTTCAATATCTCCCAAAAGATATTGGAACTCATTCTGTTAGAGGAAAAAGAGTTGAAATTGAAAAGATTTTAAAAGTCCATTCACCCCTATCTCTAGTCTTTTACCTCACTCGGGACCCATCACCACTCCTCTTTTTTTGATCTCTCTCCCTATGAACAACTATTTCAAAAATCTCTTGATTATTCTTTCTTACGTGTTTTTTGTTGTGCTTGCAATATTACTGCCACTTCTTCAAATAATCTTTCTCCTAGGTCTGTTCAGTGTGTTTTTCTGGGTTATGCATTTGGTTACATAGGTTATCGTTATCTTGACCCTACTTCTAACAGGATTTACGTACATCAACCATCATGTGCGTTTTCATAAAAATATTTTTCCTTTCACCACTTTGGCTTCTTCCATCTCTGCTCCATCATCCTCTGACCACTCTTTTCAATTAACTCTTCCTCTTTTTCCTTGGACCAGTCCGCCGCCGGCCGGCCCTCACATGGATAGTCCATCGCCGGCAATACATCAGTCTAGCTCAAGCCACGCCTTACCCCTTCAGCCAGGATGATCCCCACCGGTACTCAGTCCAGCTTCCTTGACCAGGCCACCCACAGTAATCGGGCCCGTAGCTGAGCCCAGTCCACCTGGTCATAACCAGTCCCATTGCCGACACGGGTCCTAGTACAATCACTGGCCCAGAACCCGTGAATAGCCTACTGACCGAGCCCAGTCCAGCAACCTCAACTAGCCCTCTGACCGAACCCAGCCAGCAATCTCGACCAGCACTCTGATCGAGCCCAGTTCTGCACCCGTGTCCCGTCCAGTGACCGTCCCTGTTGCTAATGTCCACCCGATGCAAACTCGGACTAAATCAGGATTTTTCAAACATAAGTCTATTTTTAATATAAATACGGTTGTTATTTCAGCAAACCCTACTTGTTTTTCAGAGGCAAATAAACATTTGAAATGGTGTGAGGCTATGGCTGAGGAGTTTAATGCACTTATTGTTACTCATACTTGGGATTTGGCACCTTTTGATAATTCTAAGAATATTGTTGGGTCAAAGTGGATTTATAAGACAAAATTTCTTTCTGATGGGTTTAGTTGTTCAAGGTTAATTAACAGACATGTGTGGATTTTTCTGAGACTTTTAGTCTTGTCATTAAACCCACCAATGTTCACACTGTCCTTACTTTAGCTATTTCATCTGGATGGATTGTGCGTCAATTAGATGTCAAGAATGCCTTCCGTCATGGCAATCTCACTGAAGAGGTCCTTATGCATCACCCGCGGGGTTTTATTCATCCTGAATTTCCTCATCACTTGTGTCGGCTGCGTAAGAATACTTATGGCCTAAAGCAAGCCCCACAGGGATGGTTTCATGGATTTAGTAGTTTCTTACTTACTCGTAATTTTGTATGTAGTAAGTTTGATAACTCTCTTTATTTACCGTTAGGGTTAGTCTGTTATTTATTTATTTATTTATTATATGTGGATGATATTATTATCACTAGTAATTCTTCTTCTGATGTCACTGCATTTATTCACCTTTTTGCTCGTCACATTGCCATGAAAGACTTAGATGATCTTCATTATTTTCTTGGCATTCAGTCATTCGAAATGGCAAAGGCATGTTTCTCTCTCAGCATAAATATGGTTCCGATAACATGTGAAGTAATGAGAAAGGATACTCCAAATAAGAGTCATGACAAATATATTTAATAATAAAAGAGAGTGCCTAAATTATACGTAGTAATTATTTCTAATTTAATACTCTCTCCGTTCTTAAATATGAGTCCTCTTAGGCTTTGGCACGGGTTTTAAGAGGAAAATAATAGGGTAGTGTAAAAGGTGTAGTGAGTAAATGAAAAAGTAGGAAAGAGAAAGGAGTAATAGTAATAAAAATGGGGGTATAAAGGTATTTTGATTGAAAAAACTTACCAAAAAGGAAAAGAGGGACAAATAATTAAAAACATCCTAAAAAGGAATGCCAGACAGTTAATAAAGAACGGAAGGAATATTAGGGTAAATCATTTCATTCCTACGACGTTGTTTGACAGTATCAAGGAAATATTTAGTGTTTATATCACCCTCTTTTAGTCAAAAGTGTTTCGCTCTTTTTTCTAAAATGTATTCTGCTACTCAAGAAGTCCCAATGGCGTGGCGTTCACTATCCGAAATTCAGCACCGTCCCCAGGTCCCCACCCATTAGCCCTCCTCAAATATGTGAATTTATGCTTGCAAAAACCAATGCGAGCTTGAAACCGGACCTTCATTCTTCTCCTTCGAGAATTTTCACCACTCTGGACCTCCTTCTAAACATTGAACTAACCACACTAACGGATATTCGGATATCTCTGTCATAATAAGCCAAGCCCTCCACTTTGAGTATGAAGTAATTTTATGTACTTGATCACAAATATTTGCAATTAATGACTAGAAATTATTTCCTTCTTGCCAATTTAAATTTCTCATATGCCTCTTTTAAATTTGTCGTTTGCCTTTTTTTGGACATCTTAGTTAAAGGTTCTCATTTCTAAAATAGGAAATAATTAACATTCTTAAACGAGAACTTAATAATAATAATCAGCATCATCATTACCCAGTACCGCAAAAGCTCTCACCAATGGTGTCACTCTATCACCAAAAGAAGATGTACGCAATGGTGGGGTAAAGGGGGTTGTATGTACGCAATTTTACCCCTGTACTAAAGCATAGAGTGACTCTTTCCAGGTAACTCAGAGTGAGAATAGCATCGAAAATTGCACGGACTGACTACTGCTTCATAACAGAGAAGCGAAAACAGTTTAGTGAGCCATTTTTCTTTATTCCATCATATTACCAAACCAAAAAGTAATACAACTATAACATCACAGTTATCGTCAATGGCCTAATAAAATCAAATAACCATCAAAACCACATTTCAAAATATATATACTCGAATAACATGGTTTCCTTCTACGACCTGTTTTCTCCCTCTTGTAGAGTTTAATTGACCATTTTCATGGTGCGGCAGGATTCTATGCTTGTGATGCCGATTTTCATAGATTATCTCATTTTTGTCTTGGTGTTTATACCGTCATTCGTGGTATATGTACCATTGAATATGTTTCCTCCTTCATTAGTTGTGGTTACAGTGTCTTCTAAGTCAATTGTGGCGTTGGCAGCGGTGACTACAAGCCCTCTGTGGGGCTATGGCATCCAGATGGGGGGGGGGGGGGGGGGGGATAGGAAGACCCGAAGATGGCTCTCAGAAATGATTCCTTGGGTGGCCAATGTCACGCTGTGTGATGTTGATGTGGCTTTGGATCGATTTATTGTCGAAATTTGGATGAGATTCACGCAATAACAAATACAAAAATCGATTAGGAGCATTTCTTGTAATCTATGCCGGCCTTGGTTACTTCTGTTGTTTTCTATTTCACATTTATATTATTCTCAGCTCGACGTCCGTTTGATGTTTTTGTATTAGTTTTTAGCTTACAGTTTTCCATGTTGTGATTAGGAAGTCTTTTTGCTTCTCGTGTTGTGATTACCCAATCATATTGCTTCTATGTGAGCGTCGAAGGAGTAGTGATCGATTCATCATTATTTGTTTTGTTGTTTATTATTATTGTTTAAAAAATTGTGTTATTTGTCAATAAAGAATTTAAATCGAGACAGAGGCAATAATAATCGTCATTTTAATTGCTAGAACAGAACTATTATTAATATTAGAAATTACTCTAAATAGGAGCCAAAATGTTTTGAAATTTCAAAATAGTAGTATCATGTTTTTTTCTTTCCCTGAATAGGAGTAATATGTCAAGTTCGGAAAAAAATGCTATGTTTTAAAGCCTAGTAATGTCAAGCTTGACATAAATTTACTCACATTCAAAGAATAAAAAATATGATAGTCCTATTTTAGAATTTCAAAACTTTTGTACTCATATTTATTAGAAATGACCGAAGAAAGTATTTTTCATGGGTACAATTCAAACTCCAAAAGAAGATAAACTAGCCGAGTAGCCGTTCCGGTTCAAAACTGACGGCTCTAGTTTATCCAGATGGTGAAAATGGGTTATGGGTCTACGGTGGTCCAGGCAATTTAGCAAGAGGCCATTTTCTAACCCCAAAAGCTTTGTCTAAAGTTTAGCTTGGTGGAATGGTGGCCATAGTCTTCGTCTTTACAGATCCATAGCTCATCGTCCAATCTCTGGAATTCACCAAGCAAATACCCATAATTATCAACTATGGGAACTCCATATTTCACAGAGAAACTTACCTCTCTCCCGTCGGCCATGGGGACCCACTTCCCCAACCACACCCCGCCATCATCTTCATCCTCTAGAACCCGAGATTCCTCAAATTCAATTTTCTGGGATTGATGGTAGGCTTCTAGTTTATCTTCTTCTGGAGTTTGAATTGTACCCATAAAAATACTTTCTTTGGTCATTGGGTAAACCTCAACTGACGAAATCATCTTTCTTTCCTCAATCTTGGATTCGCCATGTTTGAAATCCTCTGTTTTTTTAGATTCGTAATCCTGTGAATCTTCTTCTTCTGAGGTTCTGTTGATACCTGGTCCAGGATCAGAAACTACGGTCTTTTGCTGCTCAATGAAAGTCGGATTCTGCTTCTCCTCATTCTCTAGCCGTTGTTTGGCTTTTGCAATTCTCTCGAAATCCAGCTTCTTGGAAAGGTAAGCGCACGAAGCTGCTTCCTCTGTGTTGAACATTCCCAGCCAAACGCGCCGCCCGGTGAACGGGTTTTTTATCCGCGCCCCCCACTTTCCCCCCTTCTCCTCCCTAACCCCTGGGTTCGTGGCTCTCAGTCTATGGCCCGAACCCAGATTCGAATCCGTAGGAGAATCGGGTAACGGATCAGGACCCGTAATCGACTCGGGTAGCGGGTCAGGACCCGTTGTAGAATCTCGTTGCGGATCAGGACCCGTACGCGAATCCGGTTTCGGATAAGAACCCGTAGGCGATTCGGGTTTCTGAACGAGATCAGAGTCTGAAACGGGTTGACTAACCAAATTCTTTCCAGAATCGGAATGCGGATCCAAAACGGATTCCTTCGCTGGATCATTCAATTGGACAGGACATGCAGTCTTTTTGCTAGTTTTAATCTGCTTCTTTATTCCTTGTTTGGTATTCTTGAACTCCAGCTTCTTGTGATGGTAAGCTATACAAGCTGCTTCCTTGGAATGGAAAGTTCCCAGCCAAACCTGCCGCCTCAGAACCGGGTCTCCGATCACAGCACCCCATTTCCCATTATCCATTTTCCTTAACCCACGGTTCAAGCTTCTCGGGGTTTGCCCCTCATCCATGCACAAACCGGATGGACTAGTCTCGACCTCCTTCTCTATTCCTTGTTTGGCTTTCTGAAACTCTAGCTTCATAGAAATGTAAGCGTTCGAAGCTGCTTCCTCGGAATCAAAAGTGCCCAGCCAAACCTGCCGTTTGATAAACGGGTTTCTGATTACAGCACCCCACTTCCCTCCCTTCATTCTCCTTAACCCAGGCTTTGATCTTCTCTGGGTTTGACCCGGAGACATGTTCGAGTCGGGTTTCGGATATAGTTCTTCGGAAGCAAAAGTTTCCTCCATTCCATTTTTCTTCTGCATCTCGGCAGAAACCAGAAGTCCAGAAATGAAGAATTCTTTTACTTTTTGCAGTACCATACATACCGTGGAGAAAGCCTGTTTTTAAATTTTGAAAACAGTTTTATGAAGATTATTTTTTATTTTATGTAATTCTGATGTTATGCAACTTGTATTGCTAGGGAGGTAACATCTGTCAGGCTGACAGACACCACCGCATACCTCGTGAAGAAGGGTCTCGACTATCATCATATTTTTTTTGAATTTTGCTAAACTATACGCTTTTACGCTACATAATGTTTGCAAACTAAATTAAAATCTGTATAAGTAGCAAAAATTAAATAAAATTTAATTAAAATTTGATATCTTAATTAAGTGAACAAAGTAAAACTCTTTAACTCAAAAAAGTCAAATTGTAACTTAATTTGGGCACAAATGCTAAAGGTACCCCAAAATATAACTCATTTTTACCCTCACCCCCTAATGTGTGGCCATATATGGGCAATTCATTTAATTGGGGCACCACTTAAATGAATTGGCCCATTTATGACCATAAATTAGGGGTTGGGGAAAAATGAGGTACATTTTGAGATACTCCTAGCAAAACTCTAAACTCTAATTTGGGACGAAAGGAGTCTTTGTTTAACTTTCTGATCCCCTCCTTTTTCTTACTTCTTCTTTTCTTGTTTTCTCTTCCTATTTTCTTCTTCTTGTTTTTCTATTTTTTTCTTTTTTTTCCATTTTTATTCTTCTCTTTTTTCTTTTACTATCTTTTGATATTTTACTAGATTCTCACCCGTGCGATGCACGAGACATAGATAAGTAGTAGTTATATCATATTGTTAGCATTATTAATGAATGTGTACATTATGCGTAAAGAGCGTAGATGTAAGACACACACAAAGTTCTAATTAAAGAAAAACATAGTTTTTTCAGCAATAAAAGAAAAAGATAGTTTTGACTCATAATTGGTAGGAAGTGTGTTTTGGAATAAGAAGGAATAAATAAGGGATATTTTGAGTTTGCACCCTATTTTATTGTCAAAATTAGACTTTGCACCCCGATTTTTAAATCTTTAGTATTTGCACCCGACCCTGTATGAAAAGACTAAAATGCCCCTCAATTAACAATTTTGTTGGCCTTCATCATAATCCTGATCAAGGGGCATTTTAGTCTTTTCATACGAGGTTGGGGTGCAAATACTAATGATTTCAAAAACAGGGTGCAAAGTCTAATTTGGATAATAAAATGGGGTGCAAACTCAAATTATCCCAATAAATAAATATTACAATAAGGTTTCTACAACCTACACATTTCAAAACACTTAATTGTAAAAAACATTGACTGTATGATGGACTTGTTTGCCATCTACACCACAAATCAATATTTTCAAACCCTTATAATTTGTTACTCTCGATATACACTGCAATATAAATTTTTTCTACAAAGACGTTACGGACAATTCTCTCTTCATTTGATGTGTTTCGAGAATCAATTTCAGTAACATCACAATGTCGTTAGTTTTTTGAGTGATTTGGTTCGTAATTTTCTGTTCAATATAAAAAATTCAGTCAAAAAAATGAGAGTGTAATGCACATTATTAGTTTATTACTCAAATAAATGATATAGACGTTCCTCACACTAAAAAATAGACAAACTTAAGATAATAAAATACACAAACTTAAAAAATACACAAACTTAAAATGAGAGTGTATGTCTTATTTCTAAACTTGTTTAGTCTTTTTAAAATAATAAATTCATTAGAGCTTCTCAAATAAGAGTGAATGAGTACTGTTTTGCGAATAAAAGAATAATATTTCAATTTATGAACTTAATCCTCATTTTTTAGATCCCGGTAGGCAAACCATCTAAGTCGGTGGGGTAAATGACGAGTAACATTTGCCGAGTTTTATTGAGGCTAGGATAAAAAATAAAATACAATCAAGAGAGGGGGTCCAAACCAATACCTTTCCAGAAGAGGCATACCTCTTCAAAAAATAAGCGAAAAATAAAATAAAACAAAGACAAGACCTTACCCAACGTAAAACAAAAGAGAGAATTCTCTAAATAAGACTAAAAGAAGGTGGAATTGCAAAAACAAGACATATTCACTACTAGAAAACTGTCTTACAGTGACACTTGTTCGTGACACTATTCGATTTAGTGTCACAAACTGATGAAATAACTGAAAGTTTACACATAAGTATCACTAATTTCAGACACAATAACATCACCATTTAATAGTGACACTCAAGGTTAAAAAACGGGATCATATTCATAATTTATTATTTTTTTGAGATGACGTTTATTTTATAAATTTTAACCCTAACCCTTCACATACTCTTCGCAGGAGCGCAACTCACTCTCAACCTCCCATCCTTCATCTTCAACTGTTGCGCTTCAGTTCCAGTCTCTCTTCTGTCACATATAATGCAACGACTTCATTAATTACCGTCGAACTCTTCCCTTCAGCAGCTCGGCTAGTCGCTAGGATAGCCCCTTCCTCCGCGCCGACGACGATGACGCCTTGTTGCCCTTACCGCTGCCGATGACCTGGGGATGGAAAAGTTGGTTGAGATGGCCTTGAGATGGCCTTGAGCGAGCTGGAAGTAAACTCAAGACATCAACTTGCAGAATGCCTTCAAGGTGTTTGTGAAAATCCTATGAGATAACTCTTCTCAGTTTTCCCGATTTTTTAATTATATATGAGTATATGACGTTTTTGTGTAATTCCTTCCATTCCATTTTATTTCTGTCAACAGGGCTGAATGAGTTTGCAGCTTTGTGGAGTTTTCTTGGCAATGGAGGGTGAGTAGTTTTTTATCCTTAACTAGCTTTATTATATATCTTTCTCGTTTTAAACCTAATTTCAAAAAAATGTGTTATTTTCAGGTGTGTATTGCGCTGTAGATGGTAAGCCACGGGTCATTTCTTTTTAGGTGGTGTATGCTCGATGCCAAGTTCAGTCACATAGTGTAGGTCAGTGGCTCTTGAGGATGACATTGTGAATTCAGTTCCGCGTTGTTTCTTTATTTCATGGTTTAGGATGTTAAAATTTTGTATGCTCTAAATCTATTTTCAATGTGTGGTACTTAGTTATCTATGAAATAGAACATGTTCTGATCCCTTATCAATTTCAGGAATTCATGATTTTCTACATGTTTGGATCTTACTCTATTGTTTAATACTTCCTCCGTCCTGCAATTAAGTTACCACTTTCCTTTTTGGGCAGTCCCTAAATTAAGTTCACACTTCCTTACTTTCCTTATTTGGCAAATTATCTACATCAAAATAGTGTCAAACAGTGCAAAACAGTGTCAAACAATGTCCAAACAGTGTTTGAATAGTGCAAAATAGTGTACTCCACAGTAAAGTCAAGTTTATTTTCTTAATATGTGTGAAGTCAAATCGGGAACTTAATTGAGGGACGGAGAGAGTATTAAAAGCGGTAACATGTAGTTATTAGTGTTTTTGAAATCACATTCCTTTGTCTGTTGCAGTTTGAATTTCACATTTCTTTGGATTCAGTTTATTTTTAGAATTGTTATTCATAAGCCACAATTCCATTGTCTAGGGAGACAATGTTCCAGATCTGTTCATCACATGTGAAGCTACTTGCTTTCCTCCAGAAGTACTTAGAGATGTGTACCCTTCTCAACATATGTAGTTATTTGAGAATCATATATTTGACAATTGGTTAATAAAATGTTTCTTTTATTTATAATGCTTAAGAGCAGATTGGTCAAGGTACGTATAACACTGTACATATAGAGATTGGCTAAATATATGCTTATAATCCGTTTTCCTCAAATGCTTTTCCATCCTGAAGAAATGGTGGAGTGGAGACAAAATCTGCCTTCTTTACTTTGCCGGACTTGGAGACGTTTTGAACATTCTCACAATGTTCCTTTTAACTCATGTTATCACTCAAAGGCTTCTCCGGTTATTGGTAATCATCTCTCCTCAAACCTATTTTATTATTTGTGATTATATATGTCATGATTCGGTGAATCAAAAGAGCTATTTTCTATATATTTGCAATTTGGCATCCAGTATTGAGTTTGAGAGTTCGAGTGTGAAATGAATATATTCCTTTTACCTGAATTTGTGTTCTTTAATTTTAATTTCTTAGTTAACTCCATGAATTGGTTGAGTATTAGAATGGAACATCTAGCCACTGTTAGAATTATGCCGTTGAGGAGGTAATTATTAGATAATTTATTGTTCTTTTCATTACCTAATAGAAAATAGTGGGAGTTGGAAAATAAACTTTTGGTGTTTATGAAAATAAAATTTATAGCATTATTGTTAATTTATGTCGTTAACCTTGTGTGGTTTGGGTGTTTTGACTTTTTGCAGGAGCATTAAACATTATGCTAGTGGAGCACGGCTTATTTGAAGCATCTTTTTACATGACTCATTCTTGGAGTTTGAACAATTAACAAGTTCTTTCTTTCTTTCTAGCTAAAACGACTACACCAAGTTGGCTAGATTGCTACAGATGAGTGCGTATTCTGCAGCTGCATTTTTCAACTACCTTTTGGGTAAATGTGCAAGGCATAGAAGTCCACTTCTTGAAATTTCAAAGCTTGGGTTAGTGGTATTAGGGACCATGGTTGTTATATGGTGGTCGTATCTCTATTCAAAAGAAGCATAATTGGAGGTAGGTATATACATATGGTCATACCCTTGCCTTGGATTTTTTTACTTGTTCAGTTTATACATATTTTATGTTTGACCTTTGCTCTTTTCTTTCTCTACTGTTACAGGTTTTCACACGCCTAGCCCAGTTTGAGAGGGGCATATATGAGGATTATGTGGCTTATTTTTGTGCACATCTTCTGTTCTTGTGAAGTGGAAGAGATTGTTCAGTTCCCAATCCTGAGCCTTCTTAGTGTTGCTAATACCGTTGCTTCGTGTATCTCTTCAATGATGATGCTAATTTTGGTGCCAAGCAAACCAAATTTCTTGTATGGGCTGCTCAGTAGTGCTTTATAATTTTACATGTTCTCATTTCAAGGTAGGTATATATGACAATCTGCTATCTCCTTTAGTTTGTTATTTCTCATTTGTGCTTATCAGGTTATCATAAACAATTGTATAGGTTATTAACTTATTATGTTTGAAAATTACTTGGGCATTGTTCTTGTTGCGACATTTGTACTATTAGTTGAATGTACAAACAAAAATAGTATATGTACATATATATTTTTTGTCTGTGTCTACAGACATTTGTTTTAATGTAACCTAACCTTGACTTTCTACAATAAAATTTGTCCGTTTACACAAACAATAAAAAAATCAGTGTCTGTATATATACATTTTTTTGTATATGATTTTTTTTATAAAATGTTACTAATTTTTCCGTTTCATCTTTCGTTACAAACAATATGTGTATCATTATTCAGCACAACACTGATAATATTTATATACCACACAAACACAAATTTCGGCTATTTTTTGACGACTTTCCGATTGATCGCAAAATCAATTTTTTCGGTGCATTGACAAAGTAAATGTGACGATGATAATGGAAGAAGAATGTGAATATGGAGCATGAATAAAATGTAAAAAGATAGAAAAAGAGAAAAAAGAAAAAGTAAAAAAGGGGGAAAGAAGAAGAAAAAAAGAAGAAATAGTAAAAAGAAACAACTAAGGATGGGAGATGGTAAATAAATAAGGTGTAACACGGGATATAACCTGGGGTGTACATCAAACATGGTTGAAAATTTTCCTAGCCATTTTAAGGGAAAGTTGTAAATATAAATTATATGTGTAGGTGGTGATATATTGTGAAATTTTAAGAGGTCTATAAAAGAAGATAGGTAAATGGACCAACACCATTAATGAGCTCAACCAGCATTGGAATATGAAAGATATTACCTTCAGACATATTTATCGTGAAGCCAATTGATCGGGCCATTACCTTGCTAGTCTTCCTGTGGCTCAGTTTATGAAATTCTCAAATCCTAAAGCTTTATCGAACCAGGTCCTGAAAGCTTATTTGGGAGACTTTTTTAGTATTCCTTCTTTTAGATATTAAGGTTAATCCGTTGATATTGGGTCATGCCTAGTTCCCTCAATTTTTTTTGAGTATCTTTGTGTCTTTGTTTCCAAAGAGGCATGCCTCTTCTAGAGATGTTTTGATTTGGTTCTCCTCTCTTTTGTATTTCCTACACTTCATTAAATAAAATGTAGCAAATGTTACCTGACATTTTCCCCATTGATGTTTCTATGAGAGTGCAATTTAGCTTTTGTTGATTTTATTAAATAAACAAAATAAATTTAAAAAACATCAAAATAAATTTTATATTGAATTTGGAAATTGAAAAATTAAAAATTTTAAGAAGTTATTTTACCACAATTTGGTTTACCAAACACTTTTTTTTTGTTTAAATTTATTTTGTTTATTTAATAAAATCTATAAAAGTTATGAACTTTTACTTTTTCAGAATCACTTTTTTCTCAAACACTACCAACTTTTATTATTAAGTATTATCTCCAAAATTATTTTAAATAATCACTTTTTTTTATAGTGAGCGCAAATTAGCCTCTCAAACACTTATTTTACCAAACACTATCAATTTTTACTTTTTCAGAATCACTTTTTTCTCAAACACTACCAACTTTTACTATCAAGTAATATCTCCAAAATTATTTTAAAAAATCATTTTTTTAAGTAGAAGCAATCGCAAACACTCCTTTAATCTCTTACTTTATATATCAATTTTTATCAAATTTGATTTTGTTTTTTGCGACTTTGTAAAGCTTTTAATGTAATTTTTGAATATGTAATTCTTTTTTAATTTTCTGAAAATAATTTGAGTGTGAACAGATATCGGTTTGCTTTATCTTCGATCAAACATCGTAAACCGTAAAGTGTCTTACAATTCGGGACGAAGGGAGTACTACGTAGTACACTAGTACTTATTATTTTTATTGCTATTAACATACATGAGAGTATTTATATAACATTTTTTAAATAAGCATCATATTCGTATTTAATTTAAAATACATTTTGCTAAAAATTGTATAAATTAGAATAATAGTTTTATTTTCCATGTTGATCGGGTTTTCCGGTGTTGTACTAGTTGACCTGCCAGATCCGAGTTGGCCCGTGACCCGTTCATTTTGTCGGATTGCTTCCCGGTTCGTTTTCTATAACATAGCTAATAATGTATTTATAGTGAAATTTTTTAAAACCCGTTTTAATTATAATTTTTTATATGATCTATATCTAGGTTCCTTTTTCTACGAACTACCCATTATATGTATAATCAAAGTTAGAACATATAAACTCTATTTTTCTTTCACTATTGAACATTTGAAATACACATTAGATACCATTATAATAAAAAATATTTTTGAATAAGTTTGTATTCTACTCTAGACTATTCCACGAGTACTTTGTCTGATTATGTATATAAAGAATAAAAAAAACTTAACGACATACTTCAATCTGCAGCGTGCGCTAGAGCAAGCAAGCAGCTTCAGCCTCCAACGGTCCAATCCTATATAGATAGTATATCCTCAAAGTCCACATACTTCACCACACTAAAAGTCGAATATCTTCAGGGTCTTTCTACCGTGCACTAACTAATGTAGTGTGTTTTGGTACATTGCATTTGTTATCCAATAAAATCATAGCATAGTGCCACATCATAGTGTCATACTTTTCTCAAATATTTGTTGCATGAGCATTAGACCAATGGGGTACCGGTGCATACTAATTTAAGCAAGGCACCGTAGAATTTCCCATATCTTCAAGCATATGGACTTCCTTATCATATCATGTGCATAAGCATTTTCATGTTTTGATGAACCGGTTGATTCACACATGGGGTGAATTGTGTGTACGCGTAGAACTACGACAGTTTTTCGCCGAGTTCTAGTGCGGGGCAAAGAGAAAACAGAAATTAAAGGACACAATGATTTAACAAGAAAATATCCCTTAGCTCAATAGGGATTAAAAAAACTGACCTTCCTCAAAGAAATTTGATAAACTCTTCACTAAAAGCCTTTAAACATATTACAAGATACTTTCCTAGTTTACCCTTGAGCCACCACTACAAAAAAATTACGGGATTGGCACGGAATTTGGCACGGACTTATCGACTTTTCGTGCCAAACAGCTCGTGCCAAAGTTTTTTTGGCACGGATTTGGCATTTCCCTGCCAAAATCCCTGCCAAATCCCTGCCAAAATCTCTGCCAATCCCGTGTTTTTTTTGTAGTGCACTCCAACTCTAACCTCTCTAGGTAGAGTTCTCACTACCTTACCTTGTGGGTAAGGAGTCTCTCAGCTTTACAACAAAGCTCTCACTTCACACCCCAACCCTCGGATGAAAGCATTCTCAAATGCTCCTCTTAACTCCAATACAATAGAAGAAATTGAATTACAAAAGATAGAGCTGGTTATAGAACTGCCGCAGGTACTCAGTCTTCTATGGCAAGCTTGTATATCTCTCCTTATTTGAGTATTTTCTTCTCAGTTCAAACACACAACCCTCCATGCACGAGCTTGGTCACATATAGACATGTCTAGGATCTTTCCAAGGCTTTATGACATTTAGAAGCTTTCGTTTTTTTGTCAAACTCTCCTTTATTGTATCTTTCCCTTTTGAGAATAGATTCTTTCCTTTGAGCTCGGTCTTCTTAAATGTGCAAGGTTAGGAATTGATGCACTCTCCTTAATAGGTTGGATCTCCATATATATATATATATATATATATATATATATATATATATTTCGGTCCTCTTGCATGGAAATTATTCAAACAGTGTTTCCTTATATGTATTAAAATATATTCTTTTTATTTGTGTGAAGGAAAATATTTTTCTTAAGGAAACATTCCTTGTGAGAGGAGATGCAGGAAAATCCAATTTGAATTTTGAATAACTCCTTTTATTTTTGAAAACTTACTTTGTGGAAAGATCTCTTAATTAATGCATTAGATTTAAATAACCTTCCTTTCAAGAAAAAGGTCCTTTCTTTGTATGATCATTGATTATTATCTTGCTAAAATGTTCTCTTCAATTTAGCAAGACAGAACCGAAGTAGATGGAGATAAAAGATATTTTTAAGCAAGTCAAATGCTTAAATTCGTAGGGCAGTTCAAGGATCAGGTCCACAATCTGTTCCAAAGCTCGACTTAAAATCTTTTCCTGCAATCACTTTGATGGAGTATATGGCCCAGGAACCCTCGACCCACATACTTCCACTACTGCAATCAGGCCCAATAGGCCCAAGTGGCACAAACACAGCAAACAAGACTCCGGACAACCCATACTATAACAAGGTGTTGCCTTCCGCCCCATACCCGAAAGCCCAGGGGACATACATCCTTCGGTACATGAAGGCCCCAGGGGACGTACGTCCTTCGGTACATGAAGGCCCCAGGGGACGTACGTCCTCCAACACATGAAGGACCCAGGGGACGTACGTCCTTCAACACATTAAAGTCCTCTGGGGTACGTATGGCCTTTAGCACATGGCAGTATCCAGCTACGTACGGCCTTTAGCACATGGCGGTATCCAGCTACGTACGACCTTTAGCATATGGCGGTATCCAACTACTTACGGCCTTTAGCACATGGCAGTATGCAGCTACATACGTCCTCCAGAACATGAAGGCCCCAGGGGACGTACGTCCTTCAGCACATTAATGTCCTCCGGGGTACGTACGACCTTCAGCCCATGAAGGCCTGCGGGATACGTACGGACTCCGACACTACCCTGACAAGATCTCCTCTCTGCATGCGCTCAATCACCACATTGAATGCATTGTCACATCCAAACCACCACATTGAATGCGGCCACATGCTATGCCGGTGCCATCCTTGCTGAGTTGACTCTCCGCCGCTGGTTACTTGCCACGTGTACCCTTACTTATTGCACCTAGCATCTATGGCTGCTATAAATAGCAAGCCATTTCTTCATTGTAAAGGATCCCGAACCGATCCTAGATCCGAATAACAATTTTATTGAATGAATACTCTCTCTCTTACTTGTTCTGACATCTCTATAGATACCCCCCCAGCGGTATCCCCCGGATATACTATTCGTCATTTGGTGTGTTCATTGAGAGTCTTGAGCTTGCATGACGACCAACTTTATCATTGCCTCGTCATCATATTACGAACTGGCTCCCCAACGCC